TTTTACATCTCTTGTAAGAATAGAGTAAAATACTTATAAAGATAGGTCCGATTTTCACTGATAAGTTTGAAAGTTCAATTTTTTTTTCTTTTCTTTCGGCATCTTCCTACAACTACAAAATTAAAGACAATTATTTTTTCCTTCAAATTAAAGTTGTTAGTTCTTAATTAGTTCTTTCATTAAGATCATGTAATTTTTTTTTAACTTTTGGTTTAGTTTTCGCGCAATATTGCGTGCAATATGACTAATATTAAAAAATAACAAAAACAATAATTTCTCGAAAAACGGCTCAAAATATTTCCTTTAAACTTTTGCTAGGAATAGAACGAAATGTACTCTTAAAGATCTCATAAACGCCATATTGATATATTATTTTGATTTTTCAAAAATTACAAAAATGTATTTATTTTTTGACTTGCCTCTCGCGTCGTTAAAATTTACATTAGCAGCGATTTGTTCACATTATTGCATTTGCGAGTACATGTGCGAGATGTCTAATAAAGTTACTTGAAAATTCAATTGTTGTGAAAAAGAGCCCAATATTTCACATTTTCACAAAGATTAAATGTTTTTTTCCCAAAAACGTCTCTAAATTCTTTCTTCAAACTGTTTGTACGGCTAGTGCTTATCACACTGTTTAAGATTACGTAGAATTAATTTTGCTGTATTCTTTTGTTTTTTCAAAAATTACACAAAAACCAATTTTTTAATGTATCGCCTGTAATATGCGCATTTCTAGCGATTTGTATACATTATTGCATTTCTGAGTGGAAGTGCTTCAAATGACTTCCAACAAAGTTTTCACATAAACTCAAATGTGTGAAAATGAGCTCAAAAGTCTTTAGAAATGTTCAAACACAATTTTCCTAAAAAAACGGCTCCAAATTTTTTCTTCAAACTCTTAGCAGGGATAGTGCTAATTACACTGTTTAAGATGACATAAAATTCGTTTTGTTGTATTGTTTAGTTGTTTTTTCTTTTTTAATTACACCTCTTTTTTTAAAAATAATTTCTCATGCCATTAATATGCACATTTCCAGTAATTTGTAAACACTACGTTATTTGTGAGTTAAAGTTATTCAAATGGCTTCTAATGTAATTTTTCTAAAACAAAAGTTTTCTGTGAAAGAGGGCTCAAATTTCACATTTACAATAAAGCTTAAACACCATTTTCTTAAAAACTGCTCTAAATTTTTCAATGAAAATTGACATTTGGGGCGAGGTTTAGATAGTGCAGTACAGTTTACTTTGCTGTACTCTTCCTTAATATTCTTAAAGTAATATTTCAGTTCTATTATTAAGAAACAAAAAAATTGATAATATATTTTTTTAATGTACTTTAGGCGGCGCTGGATGGCAGGTGACAAGAGTATGTGGCAACTTCGAATAGCTAGCCAAAGGAAGACCAAAGGAAATAGAAAACTAGTACAGGAAAGTCTGTGCGATTCTGTTGTGCTACTAGTTTAGCTCAACGATTTACTTTAAGAATTTATAGGAAGAGGATTCGGGAACACACATCGTCATGACCACATTGCTTGAGGGAAATGAGTGATGTTGAATTTAATGTAGGCATTCGGTGCTATTTGAGATTAACCACAATACCTGAAAATTATTGGTTGAAGGGAGAAACTGCTGTTATTATTGTCATTGTCATTATTATCAACTGTCTTGTGAACTACATTCCCTGATTCCTGCAGTAAGAAGTTAATAAATAATTTTATTTAACTTGTACTAAATAATCACGTATAAGTATTTGTTAATGTGACAGTGTTCACATTTCTTGTAATTGTATATATTTGTGCATCTTGATCATTGTATTTTAATTCTTTCATTGCAATTTCATATCTAGTAGTGGTTTTGTTAATTGATCAATTGCCAGCCAGCCATGAATTGTGGTCTTTGTAAATATCTTTACAGTACTATCTAAACTGAAGGAAACCACTCCTTTTCAGAAGATTGTAACAGAAAAACTGTTAAAATCTGGACAAACGACAATGGAATCAAAAGGGTGATTACTGACTTGATCTAGAGTTTCCTGAAGATTTTGTAAGAACGTTTTGCAATCTATAGCTCACTTTGTTCGATGCCTTTAGATGCAAAGTGAAATATTTTTGAGCATAGAAAGATATACGTTAAATATTTCAAAAATATTTTCAACTGAGTATGCATTCAAGGAGGTAGAATCAGTATCATTTGTAATGTAAGTTCAGGAACTTCGATTTGTTGGACTCAATATATTCCACATAATAGCCACAATATATTCTAATAGCCTACAAGATAAAAGTTAAGAATTTGGAAAATTCAAGTTCATTAAGGAATAACCAATGTAACAGACCTGAATATGGTGAAGAGAAAAGGAGAATGAATGGAAAATAAATAGAACTAATTTCAAAAATAAAAGAAACCAACTTGTTCTAATATTGAATTCATAAAAAAATAAAATGGTAAGAGTCAAAAAGTTGTTAATTGGAGAAATATCAAACAAACAATATAGTATATGCAGTATATGTGGCAAAGATGGTGAGAAATAATTGCACTAGTAATTATATATAGGCCATCCAAAAATGAAGTTCAAATAAAAGAAAGAATCTATAAAGGCTGACAAAACACTTCAGCTTACTATATTTTTGGTGATTTCCAAGCAAGAGTGGATTCGAAACCAGAATCTGTAGAATAACCAGAACGTGTTAAAGTGGAGGAGAATGTTGTTATCTTTTTGGAAGTAGAGCAGGGAATTACAAATTATTGCAAATAACAAACATTGTTACAAATAACCTAAATATCAATGTTCATCCTCCATTTCTGAGATAGCTAAAGGGACCAGTATTACATTAGTAACATTATAAATGGAAGCGCAGGATAATATTTAAAACAGTAAAATTAAGAGGAAAAAACAAAAACAAACAAAAAAAGATTTTAAAATATTCAATGAACTACTATTCTCTTACAATTAAAAAAGATTTATAACGTTTATACTGCTGCTACAAAATGGAAAAGACTTCCTTGTTCTAGTTTCCTTAACACTTGAGTATAGGCTATCTTTTTTGTTTTTTCCCCACCATTTCTCACCTGCCATTTCACGACTTTAAAACTAGTGGTGCTAAAGAATAGCACAGACCTCATACTAGTAAAATTTCTTTATCTCTTTAGACTGAGCCTTCTTTACGGTTTTGACTCACCCTCTTCTAAGCTGCCATCTTTTGGTGCCAAAAACAGGTTTTATCAAGTTTTCTCAAATTTTGGTAGAATTAAGAAGCAATTGTATTCACAAATTCAATAATGTATGAGAAATGTTTAATACTAGTTGTGTGAAAGATTTTTAAAAACATGCATTGTGTAATTTTGAAAAAACAAAAGAATACAGCAAAATGGCTTTGTATAACATTATTCTAGTTGAATTAGGACTATCCATCAAAAAATAAAAAATGGAGCCATTTTCCATAACAGGCATTTGATCATTTCTGAAAATGCTCATTTTCACAGAAAAATATTGAGTTTTCGAGAACTTTCGTACGACATCATATAAAGCCCTATTCTCAGAAATGTAATAATGTGTATAAATTGCTGGTAATGTAAATATTAACTACATGGGATAAATATTTTAATAAAATTACCTTTGTGTAATTTGTGAACAAACAAAACAATACAGCAAATTGTCATTTATGTAAACTGATAACACTCTAAAATCTTTAGCACTATAACTACAAAAAATTCGAAGAAAAAATTGGAGTGATATTTTGAGAAAATCTTTATTTTAATATTTTTTTAATAATTCCTGTACTTCTGTCAAAATTGAGAAAACTACTCTTTTCAAAAATAATGTTCATAATATTAATTAAAGAGTAGTAGTAATTGTAATTCAATAGATAAAGCAAACTGGGGTACTAGTCAATTAAGTCATTCAATAGTTAAAAGGCAAATTATGCATCATTCTAATTCATTCAAGTATTTTTTAGCAGTAAATAAATTTAAATGTGTAATATTTTCATGTTTTTGATTTATTACACAAAATGGGTGGCATGTAACATATATTAGTTCACAAAAATTATATTGATCATTTTGCAGATTTTGTTTTGAGTAAATAAAAGTTTATCTTTAATCAGTAAAATGAATTCAGTGCTCCCTCAGTTATATTGCTATAAATTAAGTTGTAACTTATACTGCAAATGTGCTATTAGGAAATATATTCAGACACCAGAACAAAACCATCCATGAATGAAAAAAACTACAATTGATTGTATGCTAAAAAAGAAATGACAAGTATAGTTAATTTGGAATTATATTGTTAGCAATGTACAACATGTGTAGGTGAATGGAGAAAGAATGAATTTACCTGCAATAAAATTTTTATAGAAGATACAACAATAAATTTCTCAAAATTAATCATGAACTATAAGCTGAAAGATAATGTTTAGCAAAACTACTATTGAGAAATCAAGAATTAACATAAATATTTGAAGATGCAAGTGTTGAAAGGACTTTCAAGAATAGTTAATAGAAAGAACTTAGAAAGAGTGTGGCCTGCATAAAGGGAAAGAAATGAGCAAAATGTGACCAAAATTTCACAAAGAACAGTTTAAACAAAGAATCAGGTTTGGCAAAAGGAATTAAGCAAAACAGTAATTTAAGGAAACGTTAATGTGATAAACTAAAAATTATTGATATGAAGTCATATGTGTGAATGGATGAATGTGAGAAGCACTAAGAGGACGAAGAAGTAGAAAATCTCTTGTTTGTGAATTTGGAATAAGTCTTGTGTTTCAAACAGGCTTATAGTAGATTATTCCAAGTATTGACAAGATTAGAAGTAAAATACATCAAGTTACAGAGAATCTTAGTATGCAAAAATTGGTGGTTAAGTGTGGACTGCAGCAGCAAAATCCATCAATAATACAATGTTCTCCTGTTCATTATCTTTCTTATGCGTAAAAAAAACTGAAATCGGTGATAAATAGTTTGCAATGTTGTTGTGAAACAAATGTAAATGTTCCAACATCCAGATGGTTTGATGGAGGAGTAAAAGAGGTTTTGGAAGAAATGGAGATGCTCTTTGAAAATAAGAAAAAGCTAAATCTGAAACAAAAGTAAGGATGATTAGTAAATTAAACTACAAATTTACTGTGTATATTATAAGTCACTAGAAAACATAAAAGCTTTTTATGATTTTAAACCATGAACAGTTGTGAAACAGTTGTGAAGTGTTGCATTGCAATACCAGCAGAAGTAATACAACCTTTAGTAGTGTTTATGATGAAATGATCTTATCCATTATTAGTAATATCAATTTGAAAGTAAAAACAACCCGAAAACTTTAATGTACAAAGTAAGCCCTAGTTAAAAAGAAATAAACACTAATAAAGTTGAAATAATGTTTCCACTAGTTTTCATAAATCTGAAAATAGTGTACCACTAAAAAGATGATATTTTCATGTAATAATAAAAATATCAATTCTTGTAACTCTGAGACAAGTGTTGCAACAATTACAAAACTAATCCTGAATGTGAAGCTTAATCCAACGAAATTGTTAGTTATAATAACTGGAAACAAATTTTCAGAGTTTCAATGTATGCAAAATAGGTTTTGATAATACCTGTTGGATTTGCAATGGCAGAACTACTATTTTCCCAGTTACAAATCTTAATAAATTAGTTAAATTATCTGAACCCAGAACAGGGCAGTGAAAGATTTATTTTGATTAAGATAAAAAATGCTAATAAGTCAGAAAGCAGATTCTCAGTCAAAACATTTTCAAGAAACTCATGTCTGATCTGTTTTATTTGATGACTATCTAATAATATTCACCAATACCGTATTAGATGAGAAATGGAAAACAAAAGCAATAGTAAGATATTCTAAAAGCTGTCACCATGTCTTCTTATTTTGTTCTGTAATCAGGGTAGCAAAAAAGGAGAGTGAAATATGTGGATTACATGGTGAGGTACTGGAGATGGACACCTGAATGGACAAAGAATTGAGAATTGTTTTGAATAAAGAAAGAGAGAGATAACAACTCAGCATTCTTCAAAAACTTTTAATTTCAAACTATAAAGTAGGTAATATGATGCTGAAGAATTAAAAGAGTAATAAAAATAGGTGAAATTCTCCCAAAATTTGGAAAATTATTTTCGGCTGTGTTACTCTATTTAAAAGAAAATATTGGACTAGAATCACTTATATTGGAGAACTGCTACATGACCATAACACATGTTGGAATTTAAGAAGATAATCAAGTGGTAAATATGGTTCATTTATGTGTTAATTACAGTTTCACAGTGTGGTTAATAGCATGCAAATAATGGAACACTTGCAGTAATAGTTTTCTTCGTAATCTTTTATTAATTTGTCCTTAATCACAGTCCTTAAACCATATCATTTATATTTTATGAGTTAAACATTAGCGTACTTAAGAATAAATGTTAGAGATGGACGAGTCTTAAGTTTGGTTCTTTAAAACTATACATAAGAAGACATATTAGTCAGATATTTGCCAAGAATTTAAAATATCATGGAATGTGAAAAATGCATGGTTTGTCAACAAATATTTACAAGTTGAAAATAATTTTTCCGATCCTTTGGACTAAAATACAACTAATAAAACTTCAAGGATCCTTTAATCTCATTACTTAATGCTTTGTGAAATACATTGGTGTGACTCATCAGTTTGTGCATGTTAACCCTTGCATTGTAATTCAAATGTTTGTAAACTAGAAGGGAAAGTCATGATATCCAACAGAGACTTTCAAGGAGTAAATTTAACTTGTTCAATTGACTTTCTAACAAAAACAAAACTCTGTAAAACAGACTTTTGTTTCATTTTAAGTTTTATCCATCTTTAAGCTACATGTATTAAGTAAGTGGATGAATCAGAAATGAGAGTACTGACATCTTGTAGGATGGATTGGGTTATTAATATTAACGCAGAACATTTTGGTGTATTTTGTGATTTTTTATTATTCACTCAATTAATTAACATATATTAACGTTCTTTCAGAATGGCTAATTGAAGGTAATTGCTGATATTGCTCCTAAAGAGTTGGAGGTCCTTGAGTGGTGCAAATAGTATACTATGTGACGGGTAAAGTCTAAATGTGGTTAATTCTACATGAATAAGACATTTCATCTATTTGTAAAAACATTAAAGAATAAATAAAAAAAGGTTACTTCAATATAGCGCTTGATATACTACATTATCCAAAGTAGGAACACCCTTGAAGTATACTTCAGAAGGGAAAAAAGGAAGAGAAAAACAAAGTTATTGAGATAAGAAAAGAAGAGTAATAAGAAGATAAATGAGAAGGATAAAATTGATGTATTATTGGTCTTAAATCTGATTTTTAAAATTAGTGTATAATTGTTTTGAATTTTCTCCATTATTGCAATATTTTGCTCCTAACAGTGCTCTTTTAATTTTCACTCATTCTCTATTTCATTCAATAATGTAATATTTTCCAACTTTTAACAATATTTTGCTACAGCTTAGGTTCTATTCTGGATCATCCTCAGAAGAACAGCTTTATTACAGCTGCAAAGGGGGAAAATGAAGTTCAGAGGCTACTGGAAAATAAGGAAGAAAATGCGAATGATGCCACAGATCCAAGTCAAATGAAGTGGGGTGATAGCTATGAAAATTTTGAAAACTTCAATAACAAACAGGACAAGATGCACTGCGAGTACCAACAAGCAATGTGTGAATTCTGTGGCATTTGTGTTAAACAAAAAAATCTGAGAAATCATGTACTAAAAGTTCACACAGAAACAATGCTATGTGAAACTTGTGGGAAGTTTTTTAGCTGGTATAGTTTTAAAACACACTGTGGCGAATGTGTTCTAGATCCTATTAGGTACTGTGAGCTTTGCTCTCGAGTATTTCTTACAGAAAAGGGGTATGAGATTCACATGCAAGAGCATGAACAAGGCATAAATCAGTTTCTAAGAGTGAAGATTAAAGCATCCATTCAGGATGAGTTGTCAGTGGTGTATTATTGCCCTGTATGTGGCACTAGCTATCAAGACAAAATTTCTGTTATTGTGCATTTAAATGCAAAAAAAATTATGACCTGCAGACCTTGCAATAAAGTATTTAGTAATGAGAGAGCTTTCTTGGCTCACATTCACATGCCTAACCAAGCATTTTGGCATTGTCGTTACTGCTTTCAAATATTTAAAAGAAAATACAGCTGGCAAATTCATGAACGAGCTCATAGTCACCAAAATAGATCGTATTGTTGTGAAATGTGTAGAAAACAGTGTCCTTCAATAGAGAGTCTGCTGCAGCATATTTTATGCCATGGATCCAACAATTATTTTTGTGCACAATGTAACATGAAATTTAATAGGCAATCATCTCTGAAAGCACATGTTCTGCAGCATGAGGGTTTTATATTCAAATGCAAATCATGTACGCAACAATTTCAATCATCACGCAGCTTGCGATTGCATAAGGCTAAAGAACATGGAAAGGGGATTTTGCTCCAGAAACAAAAGGTCGGATAATACCTTTCATTAAGAAAGCTGTCACAATTAAAATCTGGATTGAATATAGTTTGTTTTGAGTTTTAATTAGTTTTCTGAGAGAATGGGAAACCATACATATTCATTACAAAAGTTGATTTTTATTACCTGAAGAATACAACCATTTAGTCTATATGAAGACAGAAGATTTTTGTTCCAGAGAAATTGAAATTTGTCAAGAATACTGAAAAAGTCACTAGTTCCAGAGATGTTTGATTTTTCACACGACAAGTATTCAAAAGAGAATCTAAATTTGAATGCCTATGTATTCTCTATCACAAATGAAACAAATTTGCATATATATTAATAATTTTATGTATTTAATTTGCACTATTGTTCATGGATTTTTGTAAGAGTTAAATTGAATTCAATGTTTAGTCAATTTTTCATCACATGGAAATTTAATAGTTGTTCTTCCACTTGTATGTTCATAATGGAATATGAATGATAATTTACTACTTATGATGTTATAATTATATCTTTCTATTGATTGTTTGCTCTTCATTATAAAGGCTAATTAATATTTATTATTTGGAATTAATATTTTCTCCTTTCAGAGAGTATACAAAACAATATTGGTTAAGTCCTGTTTGACCAGTCATGTCAAGATTGACATGATTTTAATGCTTATTACATTGAATAAGATTACTTAAAATGAATTTTAATCAAGCAGTACAGTTGCTCAGAGATGTTCCTACAGAACATATGCTAACTATAAATTGAAACATATTACTGTATATATTTTTATGTTGTTATACTCAAAATGTACTTCTACTTAATGGTCATACAGAGATATAAAAACCAAAATGTAGGTCCTCTTTGCAGAATTGTTTTTGCAAAAGATTTCATGAAAAAAAATTGATCAGAGCTTTGGCTCAAATTTGAAATTATAAGGGCAGCATCAATGGCCTTCGCAATTTCTGACAGATCTTCCTCCCAAAGGCAATGCCAGTAATTCCAATAGAAAAAAGGAGAATAGTTGCCAAGGTTAAAGTTTAATCAAAACGTCATTAAAAAAATACTCAACATTAAATATTTTTTGTAATACAATTTATAAAAATTATATTCAATATTATGAGTAAAGTAATTATATAAAAATGTGCAATTTGTTTTGGTATGAGAGAACTACATTTACTCATCTTTAAAGTGATAAAATGAAATATAACTTTATTTCTCTTTAAATATATTAATGAATGCATTGGAACTGGAAACATCAGGAAATTACCATTGTTTTCAATTTGTACAATACCAACTACCTGCCTTAAATTTTTGAGTTAAAAAATGTAACAAAAATGTTTGTTATGCAAAATAATAGTAAAAAAAAACAACAAAAACAAGAATGTGAAGTGAAAGTAACAAAAATATTATATAAAAACTTATGTATAGATATTCTTCACTCTCATTTGAAGGACCAGATTGTTATACTAGGAAATTTACATACATTATGTAACCCATAAATGAACACATTAAAAAAATATATTTTGAGAAAAATAAAATAAATGTTCAATTTGTTATCTCTTTTTCTATTTTCCTGTATAATATCCTGACGTAGGATGTTATGAATGGGCCTAGTATATAAAGCAAATTTAAAAGTACATAATGTTTTCTATGAAAAGTATTATTGTGAAAAAATGTACAGTGGGAAGAATTGTCACCTATCAGATTAAAGGTACAGCAAACTCTTTGCTTTTCAGATGAATGAAAGCTTTTATTTTGAAATAGTTTGGTTTGATAATTTGCAGGTACACTATCGTTAAGGCAGGTGACTTGGGACATTTTACACCTTCAAACCTCAATAAACTTATAATCAATATTATCTATACAATAATGATCTCAAACGTTAACCCATAGAATAAATTTATATAAGAAACCTGCAATATATCAATACCCTACTAGCACAAAAAAATTAAAAAATATCTGCCTTAGTTTCCTTGAAAACTCAAGAAATGTTTTCGCAGGGTGACACCACAACCTACTGTTTTTGATAATATTTCATATAAAAAAATAATTCAATACCATATCTTCCATACAAAGCAAATGAAATACAAATAACTTTCATGTATTTTTATTACCGGAAAACACAAAGCAATATATTAAAAAGCAACAGAAATGGAGCGAAATATTCGTAGAACAAATGGAAAGAAACAAACTCTCACATCTCACAAATTGTTTGATTTGTTCCTGCTTGATAGTAGACTCATCCTCCTTGTTAGAGGACAATAAACTAAATTCAATATATTCCTTCATTGTCAAATGTTGATTTTGATATCCAGTTTTTTCACTGACATATCTCAATAACTTTTTCTTCCTTCTCTCACTCTCTGTTCTACATCTCGTATAAACACAGCAAATTGTGTAGTGCCTACTGAAAAATTTGTTTTAGATATTGATCCAGTGTTACATTGAAAACTAAATATTATTTTACACATAATATAATCAACAATAATTATATTGTACACTATTTACTATGTAATTTCAGTTAATTTCTCATTCAAGAGCAGAAATGAATGTACCAGATTAACATTAGATGAGCCACCAGCTAAGGTACTTCACAAAAAATAATACACTAGAACAAATTTGCAAATGAAGACACACACAAAGAATTCTTTACAGATTATTTATGGTAAGACTAAGTTTTAATAATAAACAAATTATAATATTTTAATTACGTTATATCCCATAACATAGATTTTCAGCATCTTAAATTTCGAACTTCTATTTTCAAACAGTTTAATGCCACACAAGTGTGTTACTAACATATATCAAAGCAAGTGAAAACAAATGCTGTAAATGCGGTGATTAACCCAAGTATTTGAAATTAACAAAAGAGCAACATCGACAGATAGGCCACACAATACTCTTGCAAAATGTCAAAAATCACCTGCTTTTACAATACTCTTTTTCATATAGAAAGCAAATAGTACTTTATACATAAGATAATTTATGAGCAATAAAATATTTTCAGTAATAAACATGGAATGAATTCAGAAATGCACGACTAATTTTTTTAAAATTACTTTGTGGTGCATAGTGTAAGAATAGATTATCTTACCCCATAATATAGTATATTACTGTTAAAATTTTTAACAACAATATAACATGTTCAGTGGTGTGTAAAAGATGGGAAAAGAAAAACTCATTTGAGTGCACCTTATTTACCAGTAGGTCTGAATCTCACTTGTATCTTGAACATCAGCAAATGCAATAAAACATTTTGCACGAGGCTTCTTGAAGTTAGCTTTCTTGTATACAACTTAAGAAAAGTACTGCCAAAATAAGCATTAATAAAATGAAATTCTTAACATGATTTTATTAAAAATTTGTAGTTAACTATTTAATAATGGTAATTACAATAGCAAAAACATGAATTCAACATTGACATTTTTCATATTAGTCTCAATAACTACTTGCAGCAAGGACAACAACCACAAGTCACACGAGCCAAAACGAAGTTGCACACAGTTATCATAATCCAAGCAGTAAAATTAAACCACAAGCATACTATTGTTACTTGCAAAGCAGCTCCTGTGTTAATCATATTTCCACGATAAAAGTCACGATTCCCATCTGTGGGTCGATATCGAGATTCATCTTTTATTACAAATGGCCTAGTAAATGGTTCCATATAATCCATAAAGTCAAAGATAGCACCACACTGCAAACGATCGTAGATAACTTTTGCACTGTTGCCATTGGCTATTAAAGATTTGACAAGTGTTCTCCTGTACTGATCACAACTCTTATAGTATCCATCAGTAACTATTACAGCATTGGCCAACAAAAGAATAGACACCAAAATACTTAATCCTGCAACTAGCCCCCAACACTTAAAACCACTCTCTGTAGTTCTTGTCCTTGCAGAAGAGACAACAGCATCTTCTTCACACCTGTAATTGAAATTAGATAGAAACAATTTGCATGGGGTGGAGCAGGGGGAATCATGAATTTGTTTTTAATTGAAATCCTAATGTATAAAATGATGTGTTTGTGAATGTTCCAGAATAAATCTTGAATGCTTTGAGCAACTTCATGCAAATTGGTACATAACTTACTTGTTATAGGAAATATTATCACAGCTAAATCAACATTTGGCATTCAGAAATGAAAAAAAACAAAAAAACTTGCTTGTATGTTTCATTTAGGATGTCTCTGCCTATTGCAAAAATAAAATTTACAAATTAGTGCCTAAAATTACATTTTTATTGTGTGTGTGTGTAACAAGAGGCCCTGGAGGCTTAATACACAATTGTGATAAATAAATATGTGAGCAATCAACTACTTGATTAAATATTAACATTACAATAATTTTATAGCATATTAGAATGTATTATTATTATTATTATTCTGTCCCCCAATTTATAAGGGATTGAAAATTCTGACTTAGGTCAAATGTGATTATATGTAAGCACATTATCTCTGAACAATGTTTTTTTATTTACAATTTAATTAGTTAAAATTTACCTTGTGTACCACTGTAATTAATACATTTGTGCATTTAATTGAACAATACGATTAGTCTTTATGAGCCTTTTTTATGAAAGGCACAATTTGGGAAAATGATTATGAAGAGTATAAAAAGAAGTTCACTGGTTGATTTTCAATTTTCATTTAAATTATCACCACTCTAGAAATAATATAAAATGTCATCTAATTTTTGTAAATCATATTATTAGTTTCATTATATAACGGTACTGTAATCTTATTAATGTAATGGTTATTGAACCAAGGGGAAGTCTTGAGACAAGAAGAATGGCAAATTATTACTTCTTAGGAGATGTTGACATAGTCTACTAATTCATTACTAACCAATTGAACAAAATTAATTATATGATTTTAGAAGCTGAACAAATTAAAAGAAAAAGGAATCAACACACTGCATTGCACATAACTCTTAAACATTTTAAAAATATGAAAATGAACAATTCAAAAATGTGCCATGAAGTGTGTGGATTGGAGTATTGAACTTGCTAAGTGACTCCAAACTTAAAGATTTATATTGAACAGAATTACTTATTTGATGCAGGTGTTAATAGAAGCTGAAATATGACACTTTTCTAATAGATTACATTTTATTAATAAAATATCCTTCTTTGCATTTGGTATTTGTTTTATAAATATAAATTTACTGACCTGCCTCTTCTGTAAGTAGCTTTGTTAAGACGAGTTCTTCTTTTTGATGCAATACAAGTACGATACCCATGATAAATACAAAATGGAATAGCGATTAAGACAATAGGAATAGAAGCAAAGGTTGAAAACTGACAGAGTATATTTTTGCCCCCATTAAAGAAATTAAAGCCACTAATGCCATAGAGAATACATCCACATCTGTAATTTGGACAAGTGTCCAAAATTTCACTCCAATGTATCCATGCTGCTGATACAGATGCAAGTTCTACAATGGATAATAATGCAGACCCAAAGTATAAGAAAAACAAAGCACGCTCAGATTTCTGTTGATCCATCAGCTAAAACAAAAATGTTCACGGTAGTGCTTTAAGAGGTTGACATCTTAAAAACTATTTGTTTAATATCCTACTTACTTTCAGCCAAAGAGGCACAAATTTACTACTTCATTGTGAATTCTTGATATTTTATATCTCGTGTCATACTTTCTCTTGTGAATGTTACACCTGTTTCACACCCTTTCTATATCTTACTCAACAGATTAGATAACAGCTGATATGCTGTGTTAGTTATCTCTTTTACGCTTGAACCTTTAATACATCCCTTTACTCAGTGAAAATCAAATAAAATTTGAGTTGTGTGGCAAGTGAAGAAAAGGAAATATGGGCAGGTATATTATGAAAAACTAGACATGTTGACATAAATATATTTCACATCTAGTGAAGGTACAATGTAGAAAGTAAAAGCTGAATTTAAGTCCACTGGAGAAATCAGCCCAACTGCCCTGTAGCTTAACAGGAATGCCCATAAGATTCTGCTACCTCTTCCTTCTGCATATAGAAAAAGAATAACTGTAAGACAGCTGCTGAGAAGTTTCTTTGAGCAACTGTACTTTAAAAAATGAAATTAACATTTTCCTCATAAACATATGTTATGAACACCACTTACCCGCATTAGTTGCCAAAGAAGCAAGTAACGAGGGAAAAAAGTAGGAAATAATTTTAAACATCTGACGCCTTACATAATAAAGGTTTTGAGAACTTTAAATGTTATTAATGCATTAAGATTTTGAATTATATGAAGTTGGTGCAGTAACATTTTTCTCTAGCACATCAGAAATGTAAGAAAAAGTACTTTAACTCTAAGAAATTAAACTAAAAAAGAAAATAGAAAAAAAAGTGAACAAACCTTTCCAGCTTTCATTTGTAACATCACCACTAAAGACATGTTCAGTGATCTCATTGGAGAGATTCCTTTTTTAATAGCTGTGCCAAACACAGTACCAAGTTATACCATAAGAATTAAACATTCCAGAAGAGAAGAGAATAGTTATAAGCCAAAAATAACTGATGCCTCAAATACTTTCAAATTCAAGGTAAAGACCTACCATGAAAAATTAAAAGTAGAAGAATGAAGCACCAATAATTTTAAATTTTGTTTCTTTTAGACAATCCTTCAAGTAAAAAAAATTCACCATTTTCCAGTGCATAACTTTCTCTTCTTACAAAGAACTTCATAAGGCGAGAAAGTAAAACTCTTGTAATGGCTAAAGCAGTAATGAAAACTGGTAAGAACTGCTTATAGTGAAGTTCACATGGAAATGTTCCAACAATGTTAATGACTTTTGACATCAAACTGTTGATATTCAAAGAAATAACACTACAACTTAGTTTGCATTACAGTTCTTGGCAGTAGGGTATTATGTGTATAAATCCAACACTGAAGAGCTGTAACTTTCAAGAGAACACATTCGTATCCCCCCCTCCTTTTCTTGTTTTAGACATAGGGGCAAAAGCCCAATCACTAGCACAACAAATTTTTAATTTATTTGTACAAAGTTTATTGCACAAGCATTAATTTTTTCCTCAGCTTTGGCTCACTGGAATTTGTTGAAATTACATTGCAAAGATGTGTGGTACTCAAAGTATCCATGACTTCAAAAACTCTCCAGAAATATTTTAGTTTTAAGCATTTGCTTTTTTATGAGCCATCTTTTCTGTTTACTTACAATAAGAAGTGATCGAGGTATTATAATACCAAAATTCCAAATGCCCATCTCACTATCAACATTCATATTTTGAGATCCAAATTAAATTGTTCATGTTATGTACTACTGTTAATTTTTATGAACAAGTCAAATTTGGAATAGCAATTGCATTCATGAATCATGTGGTAACTTCATTGCTTCATCATTTTGCAGTCTTAAAATTCAGTTTTTGCAGCAGCTCAATACTGATACAGTAGTTCAAAGTTTAACAATCACTTATTAAAGCAGGCCTTGTTCCAAGCATTTTGAGGGGATACACTTTTTTCCAGAATTCAATGGATTTCAAGACACTACCCATTTCCCCCCCCCACAAAAATGTGATCGTAAGTGATTAACAGGTGGAAAATTATGTGAAATGATTGCAGAAAGCTGTGTCAAAGTATTAAAATCGTTGACCCAGTTGTGAAATGGTGACTCAGAAATGATGCAATAGTGTAAATCAATCTGCACTTCCCACAACATGCTACCTTTATAATCCCGACTATATTTCTATTTCATTATTGTCCATTGAAATGTTATCTCTATCTCCTTGCATACAACCGAAACAGTATGTATTTAATCTCTTAATTTGATTAGTTAATCAATCTTCAATGTCATATAAATAAGTGACATTCTCTTGAAATCATTCCCTATGTTTTAACAAAGAAAAAATTGTAAAAATTACAGTTCACATCAGCGTGCAGTCTGACGTTCCCAATATTTGCCACTTGTTACCACTTCTTATAAATACCTTTCATTATTGGTGAAGCAAAAATTGTTTAAAGCATTATTCATAGGTGTGCAAGATCAGACTAGTAAAGTGTCAGATTCTGTTATTATCAACACAAGTTCAAAATATTATATTGATACGGCAGAAATGTATGCTTGGGAATTTGTTTGATGAGAATGATAGGGTTAAAAAAATATGTTAGCAATTGAGGCTTCTAGGGCAAGAACTACTTTGATTCATTAATCTACTTTGGTTACAGCAGGAGTCTACTTGCTTACTCAGTTTAGTTTTATTGAGATACATTTGGTGGGGGGATTTTATTTTAATTATAAGGTGTTACTAAATTAAATGTAATGCTTTTACTAAAGTAAAGGGACTAGGGAGACCACAGATATTTCATATATTAAGATTTTAAAACATTGTGCTAACTTTGCTGCTATTTCTAAATGTACTTATATTGTAAAAGGAAAAATTACCCCCAAAGAATCTGCAGTGCAAAGAAATCAACACACCATTACAGAACACAAACCTAAATCTTCTGAAAAACCCCTCACCTTCCTAAGTTTTATCAAAATTGCTATTAATATTATACATGGAGATTCATCCACCAAAAATAGCATGCTGTAAAACCATTGCCTTAGCAAGCAAGGTTAATTACATCCAATGTTCAGAAACCTATTGCTAGCATTCACTAAGATTCAGTGAAAAGAATTATTAGAAATATCAGTAAGCCATATACTGCTAACAACACTAGTTCAAATTTTGGGAGGACAGTGTATCTAAATGACCATCACCGACAATTTGTAACTGACAGCAAATGGTACCAAAGGAACCACTCCTTATATTTATAATACACAGTACTGTCTTTTGTTATATATATTTTAATTGAAAAATCCATCTATTCATGAAACATAGTCCAAAAAACCTTTACAGAGGATTAGGAATATACAAAGCAGATAATCTTGAACTCTAAAATACATAACTTTTATTATTTGTTAGTTAACACACTAACAAATTTAAGTGACATTTACACAAACATTCTAACATTCATCTAAGAAATTCTGCATAACCTATTTTTTACATTGCTTACATTACAGTAGTTACATAACCATGGGGCAACAAAAAATATCCTTACGCAGGGTTATATTCTTGTCGAAAATCTTGAAGCTTATCTCTTGCACTCCACAAACAATAAACAGCAGCTAAACTAAATCCAATTCCACCGCCAATGGCACACTTTCTCAGACCAGCTGCAACAAAATTTGAATTTACAATCCTGGTATTATTGACAATGTACATAATTTGATAACTTAAGTAAATCAATAAAATTATAAAATAAATTTCAATAACAAAAATTGAGACAATCTGGTGAAAGGAAATTTCATTATCAAAAGTGAGCAGTAAATAAAGCATTACTTTCTAAAAGTTGGCAATTCACAATTTTAACATTACTTTCTTAGCAAATTCTGCACCATATTTTAATGATGTAAAGTAAGTACAAATTTATTGAAGAATTAAATAAAAAAGATCTCGGTATAAGTTTGTAACAGAACTCAGATTAAATCAAGATTTAAATGAGGAACATAATTTAAACATGTTACTTGATTATTTCAATGTCAGAAATTTATGTTAATAATTCACATTTCTAAAAAAATATTATATTTCACACGGAATATTAGAATTCAAAACAAACCATTTCATATTAAGTTGCACAAATTTTGTAAGACCTCCCTTTCTAATAATAATTTCAAAACAATTTAATAAATAAATAAAAATTAATTTTATTCTTATTTATTTTTGTATTTTTTAATGAAATAAAAACCACAATACACAATAATTGCAAGGAAGTGAAGTCAATACTTGCCATATGATCCATATCGGAAAGTATCAGACAGAAAATCATTGTTTGAATGATTCGTACACTTACCAAATCTTATAATTAATGGTTTATGTGCTGATAACCACATTTTAGTTATGCTAAGAGTTAATACCAAAGCTGGCATTACCCAGTTTCCTTTTTTGAATACAACTTCCAATGATTTTCTTAGAACAGCTCAAATAAATTAGTTTCTCTGAAAATTGGTTTATGCTTATTCTACAAGAACTATTTTATTACCTGATGATTTATATAACAGTCCTGTTGCACTAGCAGCGACAATTGTATTCAGTTCATCATCACAACCTCTTGCCCATGACAATATAACTCCAAATCCACTGTACATGACAGCTAATACTCCCAATGTGTTTGCAGTTGCAGATCCTTGCTTCATAACATAATTAAGTAGCCTGAACAAAACAACACATTCTACAGTAAACAGTTTCACTCTGACAACAAACAATTTTAACTGATTCTTTCTTACTGTGTACGTCTCAATTTTCCAGTGTGACCAGCTAGAGTTGTACTCTTCAGACCATTATAGAATCCTCCAATGCCTCCAATTCCAGCTCCCAACATACAAGAACCTCCGATTTGTGAAAAAGCTAGTTCAAACCGACCCCTTTGTCTCGCTACTCCCTCAGGAAATATAAATTCAGGTTGACTTTGTGGCAAATATACAGGATTAAAATTGAGGTATGGGGATAACTGGGCCAAATTCTGCTGTGAGTGCACTGAAAAACAAATAAAATTTACCAGTAAATTAAAGTTCACACAAGGTTTCGTTATTGTATGTAGTATACTATATTAATACTTTACCAGACACATTCATACTGGGATCTTTGCTAGAATACGAAGCGGCGTAAGTCGCATCGGGGTCCGTGTTGTTCATTTTTTCTCGCAAAGATCTGAATGCAAATGGAAAAGTCAGAAACTTTTTATCAGTTTATTCCTCACACTTTTCGTTCAGATACTATTAACTTTCACACGAAAGTCTACACACTTACAATTATCAATCGATGGAGTTTACACTTCCTCTACAAATCAGAAAATACAATTGGTAATAGTACTGTTGTCACTGGTGTTACAAATTCACTTAATAAACACTATCTTGCAACATATTTCTACTACTCTTTTGTAGACATTTACAACCAGTGCTCAATCATCCATCGACCCACACGAGGACACACGCTTACCATTAAGTTTCCACTATTGCATGCATGTATAGCATAGCGCATAGAACTTCGAAGGACGACGTGCTCTTTCAGCATGGACTTTGAACATATTGAATTCACGAACGATCATACCAAGCAATTCTCGGGTCTTATCGTTCCTTCAGACGAAATGACTCCCAAAAATATGTGACCGAATGCGAAGGACAGGTTTACGGTAACAGAGTTAGATATTTATTGGATAGTGTGGAAATTAGCGCATTGTTGTACAGTATACACAGTACAGTATACAATACTCTATATACTATACTCTAATACAGTATACTCTCTGGTACAGTATTACCGCAAGAAACTTGTTCATTACAGGACGATTATGTAAAAAGCGTCCTGTAATGAATTTTCCCTGACTCCATTGCCACCAACTTATGACCACGTAACTTCTGTTTACGAAGAACCAAGGAATCCTGCATTAAATTGTTTTCCGTATTTAGTTCTTTCAATAAATATCATGAACTTTTTTTTAATATGTTAGTAGCTTTTGCACAATAGTGCATGCAATTAAAAAAAATATTTGCGGCAAGAGTATGTGACAAGTTTGTATAACTAACCGAGACTAAATGAAATAGAAAACTAATACAGGAAAGTCTGTGCCATTCTGTTAAACCACTAATTATAATCTATCGGATTGTGTGTATTGCGGGTTGCATAATGATTCTGTTAGTAACTGTCACTATCTTCCCTTCCCCGTCTGTAGGAGTGTCTTATCCCCACGGACTTATTTCCACCATCCAATGTAATTCTCCATTGATAATATACCCCAAGTTTAGTTGTTGGTGGGTTCGAACCCGATCAAAGCCGTGGATTTTTAAGGGCGAAAAAATCCTTCGGAGGGGAAGTAAAGCCGTCTGTTCCATGTTAGTTGATTTACTTGCATGTAAAAGATCCTCAAGCCTAAATGACACCTCTGAGCCAAATTGAAATCGCCTGTTTCTCGCCCAAGAAACACCTCCTTTCTGTGCAAGTTGGTGAAAGGAGCGTTGCGAAATTTGCGTGGTCAGACGGAAGAGCAGGCCTCATGGCCTGAGTATCGCCACGTAAAATAAGGCATTAATTCAATTCAATTCAATCCTTAGCCTTGATGACAGCTTTCACTCGCAGGCATACTTTCAATCAGGAGCGGGAAGGTTTCTTGGGGAATGGCAGTCTATTCTTCACGGAGCTGCACTAAGAAGAGGTATCGATGTAGAGCGGTGAGGCCTGGCACGAAGTCAGTGTTTCAAAACATCCCAAAAGTGTTTGATAGTGTCAGGACTCTTTGCGGGCCAGTCCATTACAGGGATGTTATTGTCGTATAACCACTCTGCCGCAGACCATGAAATATGAACAGGTGCTCGATCGTGTTGAAAGATGCACACGACCACATCGTAACACCATCTTGGACGTGTCCGGAGACTTTTGATCACATAATTTTCTTATTTATTAAGCTTTTCGGCAATGGGTACATTGTGAGACAGTTTTTAAGCCGTTGTTGAGATAAAGAATAGTGTTACTTTAAATATTAATTATATTTATTATAAGTTGATTATAAAATCACACACGAATAGTTTTGGACACATTTTGAAGAAATGAAAAAAATGCATTAAAAAACTGTAGCTCGCTTGGTAATTGTTTTGGAAAAAGATGTTTTATAAAACAGTTGTATGAAATTTTAACCTCTTGCAATTTGATTGTAATTATTTTTCTACGCCTCTTAAGGTGTCTTTATGGAAAATTGCATTGAATCCGTTTTCTTTTCATTTACTATTAATTTGTTATTACGGAACCAATTTGAAATATCTAATATTGAACTATTTACGGTTTCTTTATTGCAAAGAATATTCGTATCATCCGCAAAGAGAACTATTCTTCCGTTTCTAATCTTCGAGGGCGTAATATCGTTTACGTATAGTAGGAAGAGAATAAGGCTCAAAATCGACCCCTGCGGGACTCCACATGCATTTGGCAAAGAATCGGTAAGATGTGTACATAATGTTGCATTATTCCAGTAAAATATTTCTGCTCTCTGATATCGTGTTTTAAGGTACGAATATAACCAATCTAGACCAATACCACGAATTCCATGCGAAGGTAATTTCGAAAGTAAAATGTTAAGATCAATGACATCAAAAGCTTTTGAAAAATCTAAAAGTATTCTAATAGGTGCTTCGTTTTGATCTATGGATGAGGCGGTATCTTTAAGAAAGGAAAATGTGGCTGTTTCCGTAGGTTTTGATTTTCAAAACTCATGTTGGCAATCTGAAAACGCGTGTTGTTTACTAAGAAATGTCTCCATTCATGCGTTAAAAAAAAAAAGAGTCTCTAATATCTTTGGGAAAAAAACGACAAAAGAGACACGCACGTTGTCTTCAGTTCCAGAATCCCTTCCCGTCATTTTAACTATAAATAGTTGAAAGATGAGTAAAAGTTTAAGATAAATAAATAAAAATAAATTTTAAAAATCGCAAGAGCAATATTTGAAAAATAGTCATTTTTGTTTCTGAGTTAGAGAAAACTTATTTGCATCGGTTTGCTCTTCAAGGTTTCTAGTTGATTTGGTCGAATTTTTAACTATATTCCACATTGCTTTTGTTTAATTATTTGAGTTCAAAATATCCTGATCATGCTTCATGATTTTAGCCTGCATTATGATTTTTCTTAACAATGACTTGTATTTTTTAAAGTAGAGGAGGAAATCTTGAGATACGTTATGATGCTTAGAAATGAAAGAAAGAATTCGTTTGTTTTACATGATGTCTTAATCCCTTGTGTTATCCAAGAATTGAATTTTTTTAATTTTTTATTTTTATTTTTTAAGATGAAGTGTTTAAATGAAAGCGTTGGAGAAAAAAAATTATATTTATCGTTTGTATCAACAGTGTAAACCGTGTCCCATGACTCTTGCAACAAGTAATTAATGAATAACTTCATTTTACTTTTAGTAAACAATCAACTCCTACGTGTATTAGTTAGTGTCAGTGTTCGCATTTCTTATAATGGTAAGAATTTGTGCATCGTGATCACTGAACCCTAAATCTTTTGTTTCAATTTCATATTGAGTAGTGGTTTTGTAAATTATTATTTGATTGATAGCCTTTGAATTTAGTTTGAGCCGTGTAGGTACATTTTGTAATATCTTATCTGAAGGAATGAATTAATTTGGGAAACTGCTCTTCTCGAAAGATTCGACCAGAAAACCAATGTTAAAATCTCCGCATACAACAACGGATTCAAAAGAGCGATTGGTGAATTTGTTTAGTGCTATCCCCAGTTTCTTTAAGAAAATAACATAATCTATTGCTCTCTTTGTTGTAGGCCAGTAGATGTACTACAGATACTTCAAAAACACAAAACGGAATACACATTTAATTCCGACAAGGTGATCGAATCGAAATTATTTCTAACGTGAATACAAAAACCCACATATGCAGGACCTTTGTGCTATTCTTTTTCTCTACAATAATAGCTTGTAACGTAAATGTTTGGAATTTGGAAAATACCAAGTTCATTTTGAAATAACCAATGTTCTGTAAAGCAGAGAACGTCCATTTGATTTAAATCGCTTTGTAGAGCTGCTTCGATAAACACAGTTTTATTTGAAAGGGATTGGACATTATGGTGCAATATGTGTATCTTTTGCAAGTACCTATATGGTTGTTTTTATATTGCATCTGACTGTAGTTGATATGTATTTACTATTGATGTGTTGTGCGAGCTTGTTGTAGATTGCATGTTTTACCGCAAGGTTCATGTGGCGGCCATGCCGGGTAAAGTGTTTTTCTGGAAGGAAAATAATTTCAAAAAGTGTTAAATTTGTTTCTCTCAGTTGCAGTTTTAATTGTTGGTTTGCGTGCGTAATCTTGCTGCATAGTGTTGGTCTGTTATACGAGAAGGACAGAGTCGAGACTACAATGTTAGTATTTTGGGCGGCATTTTGTAAATTGTATACTTGTTGATCAGGTGTAAAGTCACCATCCAAATTAATGTCATTCTGTCCTCATATGAAAATGACTGTCACCTGATTGGTCAGTGCCTTCGTGTGGGTATAACTCTGCAGTCACGTCTGCAACCCTCCCGATAGGTTTAAAAATAGATGAGACTGAGTAGTTGGAGGGTAACGTCCATCTGAGAATGGAGGAAAGATGGCAGCCAAGGTGTCAACTACAAGAAGTACTTGTTTTTAGGCTCAGTAGTTTTTCAAGTGGGCTAGGATGCGCAGCTTTACGTGTTTTGGTTTTAATGCGCTTCCTAGCCTGTTTGCGTTGGTTTATGCCTGTATTTGTTGATGATAGAAAAGGGTTGTGAGGATCAGGTAGGCGAGGAAAATCAGTTTCTTAATCAAAACTAAACTTTTTTTGATTTGCGACTGGATGTGGTGTCCGTGCCTTTTGTGCAGTCACGGGTGCACGATTTGGAAGATTCGCAGTGTTGCCGCTTGTACCCAACCGTCTGTGTAGAGAACGACCTCTTCCAACCTTCGGATATGTTGATCTAAAGTACTGTTTATGTGTGTGAAGTCTTTCGAGTTTGAGGGTGTAGAGAGTAAAAAGTGTAGAACGATTAGTAGTCATGTCACGAATGTGTCTTAGTGTACGTGATAAAATTGGAATAAATACAAGAAACTCAGATGGGAGCAACAAGCACCTAGCTTAATATTTTGAAAGTGTAAGATTGAAGTAAATTCAATAAATTAAAAATTATGTTTCGATAATAGAATGAGAATGTATGTTATTTACAAAATCGATTGAAAGCAAGTACTTACGAAACTTGGCAATGTGGTTATGTAGATTGTTGTTCACGTAAGCTGCTACTTTTTGGTATAATCAGTAGACTTTGCTTTACCGTAAATAAATAAAATATATTAACCTAAAATTTGTCTTGAAAATATAGAATTAATAAGATTTGGAATACAAATTGAAAGATGTTCGATACACCGTCCTCCTAAAGTTCAAATCAACAGAATCGTCACAGAAATGTAATAAAGTCTCTGCAATTCAAGTAGCAACGTGATATATCGAAAATAAACTGAACTGTTTATAGGTTTTGACATTTATCACCAACTCGTAAATCTTCGTTTAGGGTTTCGTTTCGTTTAGCGTTTCGGGTTTCGTTTAGCGTTTTTCGTTTAGGGTCCTGTAACCGTTTAAAATTTGTTCTCTTTTGGTTTGTGTTAGTTATAACAAAAAATGAGCCGAAATTATATTTCCAGGTAATGTGAAACAAGTAATGAAACACTTAAACACACCAAATATAGCCAAATCGTTAATTTAATTTTGAACTCCCGCTTACGAGGTGACAGTAAGTGTGATTGACACACCAAGTTGGGGAGGATTACAGGAGTGGGGAGACACTTTCTAGTTGACGGCGGCGCGCCTGGTGGAAGAGGCTGTAACTCACCAGTAACTCGCCCTCCCTCCTACTATAAGCGCTGCCGATGCGACATGTGGGGTGCACGAGTGTAACCTTAATGGTGTCATGTGTTGTAAATACCGGTGATACGTGTTAGTATAGGTAATAAGACAGTACTGTTTATTCTACTATTTGTAAAAGTGTCAACCTTACAATGGTGGAACAATATAGAGAAACCCGTTTGTCCGCAAAAATGTAAGTTGTGTACTCATTAGTAATTTTTGTATACTGCATGGAATGTGCGGGTGATGTTAATTCGTATGTAATTCTTTACTTCCCTGTGAAAAATGCCAGTTTTGAGGTACAATTGTTGAAGAATTTAGTTGTCATTCGAGATCGAAATTATAAAGTTGAGCAAAATCGTTTGATCTCCATCGCAACCGTAATTTCAATATTTCATATCAGTTTTAGGGTGTATTTCCTGATATTTATAACGAAATATTTCATACTATGAAGTTATTGAATATGAGTAGTGGGTTGGTAGTGCCACAGGTGCTTGAAGATAGTGGTAGTTGCAGTTATATCAGAACCAAGTTGTGTTTTTTGAGAGTGAGTGAGTTTGTGAGACTGTTAAAAAGCAAATCTAATACCTTTCTTCTATTTTCACAGTTCCCATGTCTCATTTGGGGTGGATAATGCAGAAAAAATTCAATCTCAAGCCCATATACATGTTGTCGCAAAAAGTTTGTATAATCAAGATGCTCAAAGAACTCCAGTTCCATTTGGAGTTCTTGATCGTCGAATGGTACAAGGCTTGCTTCCTAATTTGTTATGTAATTTTGCACCACCGATTTGATTTCTAATCTGTATTTATCGCAGGGAACCAACCAAAAGTCAGCAGTGTGTGAAACTTGTGGAAAAGGGTTAACGGACTGTGTTGGTCATTACGGTTACATAGATTTAGAGCTACCTGTGTTTCACATTGGCTATTTCCGTTCTGTCATTGGCATTTTACAGACTATATGCAAGGTATTTCAGATTTTTGTATTTGAATGTTTCTGTTGCTTCCCATTTATGAACATGCTTGATCTTTCTGACTTATTTCAATGTCAATGTAAAATTAATGTTTATTTAAATTTCAGACATGTTCAAGAGTTCTACTCGCAGTGAAAGACAGGGAAAAATTTAGGCATAAAGTTGTGAATCCTAATCTCCCTTATTTAGTTAGAAAAGCTTTGCGAAAACAGATATTGGATTTATCTAAGAAAATTTCCACATGTCCTCACTGTGGGGACATCAATGGAACTGTCAAGGGTGCTGGGTTATTGAAAATTTTGCATGATAAATATCGTTCAAAGAAAAACACAGATAATGTGTTGAGTAAGAAGATAGGTAAGGAAAAAAAATAAATGTTATAGTTTATACTGGAAACGTGCATATCAGCACCAAGTACGAGGAAGAATGTTGCGTCATGCATGTAAATTATAAATATTTACTATTCTCACTGCTTTATTTTCATTTCTGTTGGTTTTTTTTTTTCACTTTCCAGCGGAGTACAGTGAAGCTGTTGAAGCAAATAATGAATTGTCAAGTGTAGTTACATCAGGTTTGCTCTATATACTCAATCCTTTGGAAGTGTTGGAAATTTTACAAAAGATTCCAGAAGAAGACATTCCATTTCTTTTAATGAATCCTGACAGAGGCAAACCTAAAGACTTGATATTAACAAGGTTACCAGTGCCTCCGTTATGTATTCGTCCATCTGTGGTGTCCGAGCTGAAATCTGGAACGTAAGATTCTTCTTTTGAATTTTTTTCTCTTTTATAAATGGATGGATTGTAATGTGAAGTTAAATTATCATTTGTGCGACTCATTTTTACAGTACTGAAGATGATTTAACAATGAAATTATCTGAAATAATATTTATCAATGATGTAATAAATAGGCACAGACAGACTGGAGCTAAAGTTCAAATGATTAATGAAGATTGGGAATTTTTACAGTTACATTGTGCATTGTATATAAATAGTCAGACGTCTGGAATCCCCCTTAATATGCAGGTATAGAGATGAATTGTTAATTATATTTACTATACATAAGAAATAAGTTTCCTAGATGTACAATAAATGGACTTCAGTTCACAGAAGAGAAATTATCACGAAAAATGTGGCAAATCTAGAAGTTATTGCATGTTCTTTTTTTATATGATCAAAAGATTTAAAATTATGTGTTCTTTTCAGCCTAAAAAGTCAAGTCGTGGTCTAGTTCAAAGATTGAAAGGTAAACAAGGGCGTTTTCGAGGAAATTTATCAGGCAAGAGAGTGGACTTCACAAGTCGAACTGTCATATCTCCTGATCCAAACCTTAAAATGAACAAGGTAATTTACCCAATGCGAATGGAAGTATTGAAATTTTAATTTGATAAAAATGATCTAATAAATGGCTTATAAAGGATTCTAGTAATTCATTACAATAGATATTTGATGCACTGAAACTTACCATATAAAAAGAGATGGTTTTCCTACATCTGTATGCCTGAAGAAAGGAAGAAATAAAATACAATTTATGTATTTATTTAAAGTAAATACATCCTTAACAAGATATGTGTGCATTCCATGTAGGTTTTATTCTGTATTTATTAGGTTGGAATTCCAATTTATGTTGCAAAGCGACTGACATTCCCAGAACGAGTGAATAACAAATCTTAAGCTTACATGGCAATCCTTGACTTTGTGAAAATAAAGTTCATTTCTGAAATTCAGTTCAAACATGCACCCTTGTAGATGATCTAAATATTTTGTGTTGTCTTACTTCAGCTTGAAACTCACCATCGACTCGCATTCCCCAGTTTGGGTTCCCCTACTTTAGAATGATTCACTGTATTGTATTAATGAAACTTTTTGTATATATTTTTTGTTAGGTTGGTGTTCCAATTTATGTTGCAAAGCAACTGACATTCCCAGAACGCGTAAACAACATAAATCTTCAGCTCATGCGGCAACTTGTCATAAATGGTCCAGATAAGCATCCTGGAGCTAACTTTATTGTTGAACAAAGAAACAATTTAAAAAAATATCTTCGCTTTGGGAACAGGCAGAAAATAGCTCAAGACTTGAGGGTATGTTATGATAATGTAATATCTGATATGTAGTTATAAGTAGGAATGGGACATGTGTTTTTATTATTTTCGAACAGAGTATTTGTTGATAGAGATTTGAATCTCGATAACTCTCCATATTCAGCTTCACGTAAACTTTTCAAATACTATTAAAGTACTTTAAATGTATTCTGCTTGCTCAATTTAGGGTCTCTTCAAAAATGGTTATGAAGGTGTTTTCTGTTGCTGGGTTTACTATCATATTTAGAGGAATCAGACATTTGTTTTTGTTTGTAACTGATGAAATCTTTTTTTTCAGCCTGGGGATATTGTAGAAAGGCATCTAAGAGATGATGATATTGTATTATTCAACCGTCAACCAAGTTTACATAAATTAAGTATTATGTGTCATCGAGCTAAAGTGCTTGAACATAGAACTTTTAGGTAAGACTGCTGAGCAAGGGAGAAGAGAGAGGTGAAGACTGAAAGAGATATTTATATATTAATATTATATTCCTGTTGTTCTTACAGATTCAATGAATGTGTTTGTACTCCTTACAATGCTGATTTTGATGGGGATGAAATGAATTTGCACCTTCCACAAACAGAAGAAGCACGGGCTGAAGCTCTAGTCCTGATGGCTGTAAGTTATTTTTTTTAACTTTCTCATATACATATCATAGAGAAATTGTGTAATGCTCCTGTAATGTGTGGCGAAATGTTTCCGAGCCATTTGGACTGGAGGAAAGTTCTACACAAACTGAAATCATCACCTCATGTGAGATCTGCAACGCTGTTATCACATTATATTACAAGGACATCGAATGGAACTGGCGTGCCGTGGGCTCCACTCTACTTCATGCCTTTAATCAACACTCACTTGATCATGTACTAAAGTTACTAATAGGACCAAACCCTGGATAAACATAAGAGTACTTAATTTAATCCAGACAAAGAAGAGACTATGGAACAAATTTAACCACACCAGACAGCAGCAATGCTATGCTGAGTGCTGAGCACAACATAACTTTATTACCAAGGAACTTTGCATCTTTCACAAGAACTTTGTGGATAGCATTTTTCAGGCTAACGGAAAAGTTTTCTACTGATACATACGTAGGATCATCTACAGTCTTGATCATCTAAGGTCATCTCCAGTCTTGATCCCACCATCAATTTATTTGCAAAATGATGAAACATGTGACATGCAGGAAATTGATGACACTTATGCAGATAAAATTCGAAATCCTACATCTGCAGCAGAACTCCTTGGGATTTCTCATCTTCTGAAGAATTTTCCAGCTGTGATTCTGCCTACCTTACATATTAGTTTTTGACAGTCTCTTGATGCTGGCATCCACCTAACCAACTGGAAAACAGCTAATATCACCCCTATATTCAAGAAACTTTATCTCAACAACTACAGACTAATCAGCCTCGCTAAATCATCCAAAGTTCTGGAATGTATCATTGCCAAGAAAATCCTTGATTTTGCACTAGCAATCAAGCAGATTCCTCTGAATCAAATCAGTTTCATACCTGCACTTATTTCAAATCTTACATGTCTTCATGATTGGTTTAAAGCCATCAATAATGCCTCTCTAACTGATATCATTTACGTTGATTTCTGCAAAGCATTTGATAAAGTTTCCATCCACAGGCTCTACAAACTTAAGCACTTTGGCAATAAGGAAAAGCTTCTGCAAAGGATCTGAGCCTTCTTTCCAAATTGCAATTACCATGTAAAAATCGGTTGTTGAAAATCTACAATCAAGACAATCTCTAGGATGCATCCTCAGGGCTCTGTGTTTGGCCTGCTACTCTTCATTCTACACACCAGTGACAGCATGGTATAAAATATAGCTTTATGATTTATGTCAACAAAACAAAATTTTACTCTAAGCCTTTGACTGACCTTTGACCATGCTCACTTACAAGAAGACCCCAAGGTATCGTTGGTCAGAATCATGGTTAATTCCTCAACAGAGCTAAATGCACTGTTGTGCATGTTTGGAGGAAAAACCCAAAAACATTGGCTTTACCACATTAACTCCTACCACAGGATTTTAGAATTTTAATTACAGATGATCTCAAATGAGAAACTGTGTATCATTTATTTTCAAAAAAGCCAACAAAGCAATCTTCTATGTAAGCCTTTCAAAAAGTTGAGAAGCAATACCTTTGCCTCTCTGTGAAAGACTAATATTTTGCTGATTTTTTAATTTGGCTTTGTCGGTTTGGGATCCTTATTTTATCAAAGACATTGATCTCCCGGAAAGTGTCGAGAGAAGAGCTACCTGAATTCCAGTTGATCTTAGAGGTCATTCTTATGATCAAAGACTTGGCTGACACTGAGATATGAGACCCCATAATGACATGATCTAAGTATTTTTGATTTAAGGTTCAATACAGTCACTATATAGAGATTTCCCAGCAATCACACGATCATTTGAGAGGTCAAGCCAAGAGGAAAAGCCAAGTTTAAGCTAGGACAATTTAGGTATTTCCCAATGAATAGAGCTGCAGATATTTGGAACTAATTCCCAGAAACTTCTGTTTCTGAGACCTCTATAGAATCGTTCAAAAGATGTCACAATTACAAAAAAATAACACTGAAGCCTCAGACTCAGTGTGAAATGCTTTACTGTAACTTTGTTCTAGAAGTCTTTGACTTGTAAATATATATAAGCTAATTTCTTACACCATTATTTCAGTTTTTAATACTTTTCTCCATAAGCACATAATGTTCTAATATTGGTAATAAATAAATATTGTAACTTTGAAATTCTTGTGGCTCACTGTACCAACGTACAGCATACTCACAGTGTATATGGGTCTTTGCTCCCATTATCTTATGTTGACAATGGGTTCAGGCATAACATTGTCATGAGGTTCAATAAGGCCAGTGTAGAGGATCTCCAAAGCATGCGATGTCAAAGTTCAATTCTGCAACAACAGAACGAGGTTCTTAGTGCTAGAGCTATGCACAACAGGAAGGGCTGCAGCCCAGGCAACCCAGCCCAGCATCAGGCAACCAACCTAAACAGCTTCTGGATTCAGGTTGTGGCCTCTGACGTCCATCAATGTGTGACCTGAGCTCTTATTAACCTATACTCTCTCTTGGAATGCTGTCTAGTGTCATCTCCATTTGCTTTACGGACTTGAGTTCCTTAATGTTCAGTATGGTGTTTTCTCTGGAACAGCGTAAAATGCAATTTTTTTTTTAATATTCATTTTATTAATGCCTTTAAGGCCACCTTTCATTCTTTGGCCTTCATTCTTTAATATAATTATAGTAAACAGGGTAAGGGTAAGTGTATTGTGATCAATTAAATGCCAAGACTAAGGTGATACATTTGATGTAAATTTCCCAATCCTCTTACTAAAGAATAGCTCAACCCTCCTGGTATGCCTTGAGTCTTGTAATCAATTTGATTGTACTTGTTGCATAAAATTGTTGGTATAAATAAAAGCAATATTTTCAAAAGTTTCTACAGGTTTTCAGTTGATACACCTTTAATATATCGATGTAAGAAATTATTTTGGAAATAACGTTCATTGAGTTGTACGCAATTGCCAGTTAAATATAGCATACCCTATGTTTGCCCTGCTCTTTGTGTTCTGCCCTTCCCACTCTCGTAAGCCTGGCTGTGCCCTGCACGTATCCATTTCACATTGTCTCACCTGTTCTTACATTTCTTGGATGCGTTGCATATTAAAAGAAATTTTGTTAAAAGAACAAATTTTGTAGTGGTATTTTGAATCACAAATCCCCTTATGTTTTTTTCTGGGAAGACTCAAATGTATTCATCCAAAATTTGAGATCAATCATTCCAAGATCTCAAAATTTTTCTGTGAAACTGGGATGCACACTTGTAAAATGCTAATGATTGGGGATTTTGCTTTGGGAATTACACTATAATATAAAAATTCCTTATTGAATCTCCTACTTTCCATCTTGAAAGCAGTACCTGTGAAAATGTGTGCAGCGATCCCAACATTTTTACTATGAGCCCATGTATCTTCAGAAGTCATCTTGGTGAGCGCATTGAGAACATCCTCAATTGTACTTGAATACCCTAAATCATAGTAACACAGGTCCCTTCTCCTCATAATTTCATATGTGTGAATAAAAAAATTACAAAGGCAAGGTTAGATGAATAGTGAGGGAGTGGAATAATAACAATATTTTCGTAAGTCAGAAATTGTTGACATAGAATACATTTGAGCAGGATCATATTCTGGAGAGCATCATATATTAGTGTGACCACATGCCTGAACACTGAAAAGTTTCCTTACAATCTGCTTGGGTAGTCAGTCAAACTGTTAACAATTCCTGTATTCCATTTGGGATTGTTTTGTGTGAATGCATGTTTGATGGTCATCTGGAATAATTGCCTTCAACTTTGGTTTAATCTGTTCTTGAAGTGTTTTGAACTAAACAAAGGTTTTTCTTCAAATCATGACATTATCTGTGAAGGCTTCCTAGTGCATACGAAAAATGTTGGTTGAATTTTTTTGTACTTTTAAACAAACTTCTATACCATTTCTTTGCTCAGTTCAATCTGTAATATCAAAATCTACTAAGTCAAAATCACCTAGATGAAAATATTGTTACAGCTGCACAGCTTTTGGACTATTGATTCACAAAGCATATTGCAAGTGCAGAATACTGCCTAACATCTAGTATACGCATTCTCATCACAGTTACCAAACATTTGGATAGACTCTTGTTCTTGTTCTCACATCCTTTTCTATTTTAACATTCTAAAATGTTGTTATTAAACATTGCTATGAACGTAAGCATCTGTGATTGTGTTTGCTCTAACTGTATTAATATATAATTATTTCTCTCCCCTAATGAAATTTCTTTTAGAAATAACAATAGCCAATTTTTATTTTAAATTTAAAATTGTTTTTATTTATAGAATAAATCAAATCTGGTTACTCCTCGAAATGGAGAACTGGTAATTGCTGCAACTCAAGATTTCATAACTGGTGCCTACCTTCTTACTCAGAAAGACTTTTTTGTGACCCGTTCCCAAGCATGTCAGATGACTGCTTGTTTGCTGGCTGCTGATGATTCAGCAATGACTGTTGACCTACCACCACCAGCGATTGTCAAGGTAAATAATATTACAAAAACTATTTGAAAATCACAGATGTATGTAAATTATTCATGAAAATTGAAAGTGTGTGCATCCCCAGCCAGAGTCAATTGATTCTTCGCTGCCCGGAAGATGCCACACTCTAGGCACAGTTCCCAACATTTTGGCTGTCCTATCACGACCTATGATGCCCAGTATGATGGCTGAAACTTTGGCAGCTGTGCTTAGTACGTGGCATCTCTGAACATGCAAATATCCTTTATGAAGATTGGCTACACATTTTTCTGCTTTAGTTTCTCATTTTCTTTCTGTTATAGCCCATGAAGTTATGGACAGGGAAACAAATCTTCAGTTTAATCTTGCATCCTAATAGAAGTTGTCCTGTAAAAGCTAATCTCCAAACAAAAGGTCGAGCATACACCAAAAATGAAGATCTATGCATCAATGATTCATGTGAGTAAACAATAATGTGAAGAGTTACATAAATCTTCTGTAGCACCACCCTTTAAAAATTCACATGTGAATTTTTTTTAGATGTTGTTATTAGGAACTCAGAACTACTGGCTGGAACTATGGATAAATCAACATTGGGATCTGGATCCAAGAACAACATATTTTATGTGTTGCTCTGTGATTGGGGAGAGGATGTTGCTGCTAAAGCAATGTGGCGACTGGCAAGAATGACATCTTATTTCCTTATGAACAGAGGATTTTCAATTGGTATTGGAGATGTTACACCAGGTCAAGGTCTTTTGCGAGCCAAGCATGATTTGTTGACTGCTGGGTAAAATAATTTATTCAGCTATTTTTTCCATTAAATAGTGTTTTTAAAAATTTATTTTAAATTAACAATCCATAAATGGAGATGTGTTAATAGATTACCTGGTGTTGAAAGGGCATTTACTTATAACTGTCACCCCTGTTCTGCCAATCACACTCACTAAATGTGTTGTGGGTTGCATAATTTCTATTTTAAATGATAACCCATTCCAACCCCAACCTTAGGGGTGAGCCATAGTATTTTTCCAGATTGTCAGTAATAAGTATGCTGTGTTTTGGTAGAATTTGCTTGAAACATTATATAGTTATCCTGGAACATACATTTGTGTATACAGTAACACCCCATTTTTAAGGTCTCACATTTTACGTTTTCCTGCCTTTTACATAATTTTTCATTGGACCCGTCATAAATTCTATATTTACAATGCATTCTCCTCCCATGATTTACAACTTGCAACGAAAAGTTCTTCCCATCTTTTATGTCATTTTTTTTATTGTACATGTGTGTGTTATGTGGAGAAATAAACATATATAGTGCAGAGAAGTTAAGTAATGCTGTGGTACAAAAATGGTGATTTTTTGATAGGTACACAGAAGTTATAAATCCTGCTCCAATATGTACTAAATTAAATTAATACATAAATGCTACATATTTATTTAGCAAACCCACAGAACCTCGAGTTAGTTCAGATCAATTGGGGAATATCAGTTGTAGAGAAAATCAGCTGAATGTTTTTTCCACTTGTGTTGACTATAAATGGACAAACAGACGTTTTGCCGTCAATCGATTTTTCGGTTTCGAAGACCCACAAAACATGGATTCTGCCTACACTACGTGTTAGAAATTATAGTAGAAGTGTTGTAGTAGTAGTAGTAGTAGTAGTTACATAGAGGAACATGTTTTATCTGTTAGTTTCTCTGTCGAAAATTCACTGTTTTCCAGCACACTTTTATAAAACTTTTATCTTCTTACGAAGTAAGGGCAAGAAAGTAAAAAGAGAGCTCCCATTGCTGGGAATAATGTAAAAACTCACCTAGCCTTTTGAATTTTTACTCTTCTGCATTTTACAGTGTCTTGCAATTCAAACTTTTTTCCATCGGTCCCCTGAAAAGTGTAAAACAGTTTTACTGAATTTTTTTTTCACTGAGAAATCTCAGCATATTTTTTCAAAGGACTAAAAACTTTGAAAGTTTTAATCTGGGAAAATGCCTTATCAAAATATACTTCACTTGTAGTTCACATTTCCTTTTTCAGACATAATTGGGAAGATAAACTAACTTAACACTAACATACATATACACTCAGGCTAAACCAATGTACCTGCAAATAAATACTAAAGAAAAACTAAAGTACATGCAAGTAATAAATGAACTAGGACATAAAAGGTCAGGTTCATTGATAAGAAAACACAATAATATGAATGTGTTAATGAGATTCCTCTGCATTCAAATTTTGATGATGTAGGTATGGAACGTGCAATGACTACATCCAGAAAATGAATGAAGGTCGCCTTACCTGTCAACCAGGATGCTCTCAGGAGGAAACACTGGAAGCAATGATTCTTAAGGAACTATCTGTGATCCGTGACCACGCAGGCAAAGCCTGTCTTAAAGAACTGGACCCTAGTAACAGTCCTCTAGTAATGGCTTTAAGTGGATCCAAAGGTACAGAACTTAATGAAAGTGAAACTTTATGAACTCCATAATTTACTTTCATTTTTTTAAGAATGTGATTCAATGTAGTTGTTGACCTCATTGTAATGTTTAGACTAGCAGAACCCATGCAAGAATTTTGCATACTCAAATTCTTTTGTGTGTTTTGATGGCCAGAGATGTGTTACTTCACATGGAAATCAATTCATTAACCCAAAAATGTGTATATCCAAACTCAAATTGTGCTCCCTCCTCCTCCTCCTCCTCGCCCCACGTTCTGGATCCACCTGTGACAGCTTGCCCCCTCAGCTCAGCAGGTACCCCAGGAGTCCATTGACCAGCCTGGCACCCATCCCCCTTGCACTACACATGCACCCTGGACCAAACTCATCATCTGACACGGTACTTGTCTGGGGTAGAAGGGAAGCTTTCACTACTCACTACAGAGCACAGCATAAAACAGGCTGGCATTTCAAACTTGCATTTTTTCAGAATAAATTGTTAATATTTAGAGCTAAAGTTTAAAGAAATTCCTGAAAACTTGTGGCTTGTGGACTACAAGGTACAATTTACGACTTTTGTTAGTCACTGTTCGACTAATTATCATGAAATGTAAAGAAAAATCGTGCTTCCTTTTAATATGTAGATACGTGCTATGCACAGAAAAATCGGTCTGTTGGAAAATGTCAGGTCACCTGCTTGCCCACTGTATTTTTGAAAAATAGACCCACAATAGAATCTTGTTTAACTGGATCAACTGGGACTGGGGCCAATCTGAGTTAACAGACGTGGAGTTACCAAACAAATTTTTAATGAAGTTTAAAAATATGAATTTTTTAATGTATACATTCTTAGAAACTAATGGATGGCCCTGAGAATGCCCAGAGCATCGCCAGGGCCACTTGCTCCTATCCCCCTTTTTCCTCCACATTAATGGAGGCTTTTTAAGGGGTACGAGAGGGTTACCAGATGGAGTGAGGGCAATGAACTTGACCGCTGACAAGTAGATTCGAGGAAACCAATTTTCTTTCTTTCTCTCTCTTTCTTTTTTTTCTCTCTCTCTCTTTTTTCTTTCTTTTTTCTCTTCCTTACTTTCTTTTCCTTTCTTTCTCTTTCTTTTTTTCCTCTGAAACCTGGTTGTCCAGATGTTCGGGGTAAAGAAGTCTGATTAATGAGGTTTTACTACTATTAGAAATTTTCTCATACTTGTGAGTTCATTTCAGGCCGCAACTTAAGAATTGCAATGCCGCAACAAGGCAATTTGAGAAGTTGGTTTTATGAATTTCATTGGTAGGCGACAAATGTTTCTTGGTTTATAGAACACAGTTTTGGATTGTTGAATTGATGTATTAACTTTAAAAGAATTATATTTCACACTTCATGCGATACGGTTGGTAATGAGTTTTGGAAGTGATGGCTGAGATGCATTTGTATGGACAGGAACTGCAATATTACAATATTATAATATATAATTATATATTAATATATAATAATATCAAGTAGATGTGATATGTATAGATTTTGCTACAGCCTTTGATGCTGCTAATCATTTTATCCTTGTATGGAAACTTAATGATTTGGGCATTTGGAGAATTTCTAGAATGGATTAGGGTAGCATTTAAAAAGTTGGAATCAAATCTTTTATCTTGAAAGACATTGAGGTATTCTCTGGTGTTCCTCAAGGCGCTCACATTGAACTTCTATTGTTCTTGAGATTTATCAATTTATCGATGCAGAAAATGTTTTAATCTTTTTTTTTCTACGGTTGGATGTAGAATGTGTACTTTATGAATGTGAATTAATTTTTCTTTTCTAACTCTTGGAAAATGCAAATTTCCACTTGTCTGGCGTTTAATCAAGAGTCTGTGCATCCTCGTCGATCAGATTGTTTTGTATCTAAAACTTGGCAATGATTTTTATTCATTTTTATGTTGCGATATACTTGATAATATGCCATTCATTTGAGATTCTCTTTACTGGCATATTTGAAAATATTGGTATGAAACGGTCAGATAATTCACTGCGAATGCTTAAAACATGTTCGGAAGTGGGTGTTATTATATCTGTGTGTGGTATTTTTATCATTTTTTTTGTTACATTAACATAACTTGTATGACATGGAAAGGCAATATAAAAACATAAAACTTAACTGATTAAGATTTATTCTATGATTTTAAGGTAAGGGCAAAACATGTCTTATATTCAGGTAAATACGATACTATCTAACAATTTCTAAGGAGAGAAAATACATGCTGTTGTAGCACCAATTGTTTTAATTTGTCGACAACTACATTTTACTTTATTTTATTTTGTAGGAATTATTGTGTGTAACATTCTGTATATAAACAAAATGTGTTTTTAAAATGTTAAGTAACAGAATTTTAGTTTCAGTTGTGCTTTGTTACTAATATTTTTTTTTCATATTCTTTGTGTTAGGTTCATTTATCAACATTTCACAAATGATTGCTTGTGTGGGCCAACAGGCCATAAGTGGACATAGAGTACCCAATGGATTTGAAGACAGGGCTTTGCCACATTTCCAGAGACATTGTAAGTTCTTCAGATGAGTAGTGAAGAGAAATAATAAAAAAATGTTAGAAAGCAAACTCTTTTTCCTCCAGGGTACCTGGGCATATTGGGATACTATTTGTTTGGTTGGTTTTGTGTGAAGTAAGTGCAATTCAGACTTCAAAAATCCAAACAGGAGATGATCTAAAGTTGATACTGGCAGGGAAAAAATTACTAAATACTTAGTTATTTTAAAACGTCAACATGACTTAATAATGAAAACTATTTGTGACAAAAATATAAGTCCATAGGAAAATGGATCTAAGAGAAAGTTTCCAGAATAATAGTAACACTATTAGTAATAATGATGAGAATAGTAGTTAATAATAACAGTTACAAAAACCAGCAACAACTGCGAAATGCAATAAACACACACTCGCTCATCCCTCTCCACATTACTCACACCACACACACACTGGCTGTACAGTCATAAACTAATGTTCATTTCTGCCAAATTTATTATGATACATTTCTTTTAAAAAAATGTTTTTTTCTTCTCATAGCTAAAATTCCGGCTGCCAAAGGGTTTGTGGAAAACAGTTTCTATTCTGGACTTACTCCCACTGAGTTCTTTTTTCACACAATGGCTGGTCGTGAAGGTCTAGTAGATACTGCTGTTAAAACTGCAGAGACTGGATACATGCAGCGGCGACTTGTGAAAGTAAGTTTAACACTTTTTGACCCATCAGTTTTCTTGTTCGATTTAATGACAGTTGTTGTTTCTTTCTTTGCTGAACAAACAGACATGTTGACTTAAATATGAGATATCAAGGACTCCACATTTTATTGAATTCAATTGATACCTTATTTTATTCCTTTTTTCTTTCCATCTGACCATGCAAATTTTGCTATGCTCCTTTCACCAACTAGCAGAGAAAGGAGGTATTTCGTGGGAGACGAAACAGGCGATTTGAATTTAGCTCAGAGTTGTCATTTTGGCTTGAAGCTCTTTGGCTTAAATCTACTAACATGGAGCAGCCAGCTTTACTTCCCCTCCGAAGGAAGGAGTATGAAGGATTTTTTTCGCCCTTAAAAATCCACGGCTTCAGTCCAGTTGGAACCAGCGAACGTGGGTATAACAGTCCGATATGCTAACCGTTACACCATCGCCACCACCAAAACAGTGATTTTCTTACGCTTAAGCAATATTAATTTCTCTTAAATTTTTTGGATGTCATTTACCAAATATCAAAATTAATACTACCATTGCATCAATTTTGTCATGTGTAATTCTTTTCACATTTTATACAATTGAAAGTTGCAAAATCCATGTTTATGCAGAAAAATGTTATATGCTTCTGTGTAGACTAGACAGTAAAAAGAATGTTTATTACTTTCTTGTGCTTAAGAAGAGAAAGTTATGTAATGCTGCATGAAAAACGGCCAATTTTCAGCACAAAAAAAGTTATTACAGGAACCTGATAACGAAAAAGTAGATAAATCTAGTTGCCAAATTTACAAAAAGAAATCCTCTAACACATATAGCCAGAATCCATGTTTTGTGGGTCCGTGATACCAAAACTTAGATTGACGGCAAAAGTCTGTCTGGCCATCTGTAAACAATGCTAGCGGCTAAATCGTTTAGTCGATATTCTCCAAAATTAATGCCATGAGCCAATTGATCTGGCTGATGTCGTGGCCACTTAAATTTGAAATTTATATTTTAATTTTGCAGGGTACTTTGCATGAAACACCGGGAACATTCAACATAATTTTCAAAAATAATGTTGTCATCAATTTTGATTACATTTTGTTTTTGGAAAGTTGAAAGGTCTTGCTTCAGGTTTATATTTGTTGAAAACTAATTTTTCAAAAATTGGAAAAATGCAATGTTTTCCGGCGATTTCTACAGCTAAAATATTAAAGATAGAGATTTTTTTTAACTTCATAAAATCTGTTCCTTATAGATAGATTTTGAAATAAGATCATGTGCAATTTTTCAAAAATTTGAGTATCTGAAAAGGCCATCTGTTGCCACTCAGTGATTGTCCAGTTGCGGTATTGGCATGCAAATTCCAGCCTTCTTCACTGCTGAACAGCAGTCACCATCGGTGCTTGATGGGCACTGGTTTCAGATATCGCTGTTTTGCTATGCACAATATACTTTAACCACAGCGGCACACAAACAGCCATTTCAGAAATGCTTCCACCCTTCCCCCCAAAAGCAAATGATAATGCCCTTTTGTACATTCGATAAATTGCCCTGTTTGTGCATTGCAACGACTGCCTTGTTTCCCGCTTTCACCCAACACACTTTATGTACCCTCCACTGTTAGGGCTGCCACCTGCCATCTGTAAGGGTTAGGGCACGTTTATGTCAAACGACGATGGTCACTTTAATATGACTGGAGATACAAATATTTTATAGATAGATAGATGTATTGTTTTGTCCTGGTTTATGCTGATGACTTTTTGGCTGAAAATTTTTAACCCAGTCAATACTATTGCTGATAGTGAGAATTTACAGCATAATATTAATCTTCTTGTTTCCTGGTGTGACACAAATAGGATGATCCTCAACACAAATTAATATCAAGTACTAGGTGGGATAAAATTGTTTATAAACATGCAATGGGAAATGTGGTTTTGTGCATTCTGACATGAAAAAGTATTTCAGAAATTATTTTTGATAGGCAACTGAAGTTTAGTCATCACATTCAAAACTTATTATTGAAGCAAATATATCACTTAGCTTCTTAATGCTGTTGATCATAAAAATTACATCTCTAGGTTTTTTAGGTGATGATTAATAGTACAGTGCATTCGGAATTGGAGTATGCTTGTGAAATATAGTCACCTAACCAAAAAATTTCATTTCTGCTCTTAATAATAAAAACTTATGTTTATAGGCTCTGGAGGATCTTTGTGTTCATTATGATGAAACTGTGCGAAATTCAATTGGGAATGTTATTCAGTCTCGTTATGGAATGGATGGGCTGGATCCTACGTATATGGAAGGTAAATATTTTCACAAATTTGTTACTGCTAAATACATGTTTCATCTGTTTCTGTGTGTTCATCCACGTGGTTGGTTGTCATAGGTAAAGATTGTCCAGTTGATTTCCAAAGAATTCTGGACCATGTTAGATCGAAATCTCCTCATAGAGAAGAACCTCCTCTTGATGGGCTCCAGATAATACAAGCTACTGAAGAAATTTTGAGGGACTCTCAGTGCAGTTCTCTAGATGAAGGATTTAAGGTGGAAATGCAGTATGTATTGTCTAACAGAAGGTGTAAAATTTCATGTGGGTTGTACAGTGAGTTCTAATGGTGTGTAGAATTTAATTTTTTCACATCAAGATTATTTTTAGTGTTTTTTTTATTTATTATTATTATTATTATTATTATTATTATTATTATTATTATTATTATTATTAATGATAGCGTATAGGTAGTGTTAAAAATTTCTAAATTTATAGTGAATGCTTTTTTCCAATAAAATTAAATGCAAGCCCAGGAAAAGAACATCACTATATGAAATTTAACTTGCATTGTTCTTGGTTTTTAGTGTACATAGGCCCATTCCTTTTTTTTAACATTTCCGTCAATGTGATATATTTAGATTTATTAATAATTCTGCAATTAAGTTTGAAAACTTGGTGGCAGAATACACTAACATAACATTACAAAACTTAACAACTTCACAAAATCTACAAACTTTACAAATTAACGGGAATATTTCATAGCACTCCACTTCACTGCACTGCGAAACACCGAGCAGTAATGTCTTTCTTACACACTTGTTTCCCTCAGTTTCACAATGCTACTGCACTGCACATAATTAATAATAACAACAACAATAATAATAATGATGATAATAATCATCATCATCATCATCATCATCATCATGATACTTAATTACAAAGACGACATAGTTACTTACACTGAATAATATTAAATATATTTATAACACACATATCAACATTCAGGAAACTAACTTATTTTTCAATTTGCTCAGGCTTTGAGGAAAGGGATCGAAGATTGTCACAGGCAAATCGTTCCAGTCTCTAATAGTTCGATTCGTGAATGAATATTTCCCAACGTCTGTTTTCTGAATTCTTGTCTGAATTTTGTGCATGTGATCTGCTCTGCCGAATTATGTAGGTTTCCCTAATTGACTTTTAATTTCTTCCCATGGTCGAAGGCCTGTGTACGCTTTATACATTGCATAGAGACGTGACTTTAATCTCCTCCTTTCAAGTGACTCCCATACCCCTCTATTCTTGGTACCCCTGAAAGTAAATTTTGATGTTCTACGCTGGACTTTTTCTAGATTCCTTTGCTGCAAAATTCTGTATGGGTTCCAACATACCATGCCATATTTTAATATGAGTTATATTTTAATATGAGTTATTTTAATATATGCTAGTTCTTTTGCTCTCACTGTACTCTTTACCATGTACCAAAACATTGCTCACAACACAGAAGTTGCTTCACTGACCTTAGTAACATGCAACTCCATACTTTTTTTTTCCAGAACTTTCTTGAAAAATGTAGCTGCTAGAGTTGCAAGAATCTCTCGTAAATATAATTTAAGTGAAAATACTCCTCACTCTGCCTGCGTCAAAGAGTTGGAACGTGTGACAATTACACAATTGGTTGAGTTTTGTCATTCTTGCTCTGCAAAATTTACACGATCAAGAATTGAACCAGGAACTGCTGTTGGTGCTTTAGCTGCTCAAAGTATAGGAGAACCAGGAACTCAGATGACCTTGAAGACATTTCATTTTGCTGGTGTAGCATCTATGAACATCACACAAGGTGTGCCAAGGATCAAGGAAATTATCAATGCGAGTAAATCTATCAGCACACCTATTGTAACAGCAGTATTAGAAAATGATTCAGATCCTGAATGTGCAAGAAGAGTCAAAGGTCGTATTGAGAAGACAACTTTAAGTGAAGTGAGTTGTATTTTCTGTCTTGTCTTTTACTTTGCCTATTGTTCTTCTCTTTCTCACTGTCTCTCTTTTATTTTCCTCCATTCATTCACTAAAATCTGTATTTATTGAATAATTTGGGAATGTTATTTGTTTGTTTGTTGTTTTTATTTTAAAATTGAGATTTTATTAAAAGGGAGGTGTCAAAAAAATCTATATCCTTGTATACTTTAGTTCTTTCACATGTTTAATTAAACTTTTAAGGAAAATGAAAGTCAATAGACTTCCAATGAAAGAATATTTTGTGTTCAACAGAATAAATGTTTTGTGTTAATTCTGGAGATTAATGGCAGGAGTCCAGTTGCAAAATAAGACATGAATAAGGCTAGGCTCTAAAAGTATAGCGTAAAAGATCATTCTTCATTTTCTCATACAGAGATTGGATTTACATATGGTATGATAAGGGATAATTGTATTTCTTCAGAAGTTCTATTCGTTAAATGAGGATACCAGATTTCTTGTTTCCAGATGATAAATGCATTCTGTATAATATGTTATTTTGTTGTTTTTTTTTCCCTTTAATGTGGGGACCTTTCCTCTACTGAAGCAAAGAAACCCTTTAATCCCAATGTTCAGGTGACTGAACTAAAACTTTTTCCTTCCTAATGTTTTTATTATTTCATTCATATTGATCAGTAAAAATGTACAAAATAATATTTTTTGCTTGTCTTAAGTTCCATTATATTGTTCAGTTTTTAAAACCTCTTTTTCATTAGACTTGGAAACTTTTGGTGACTCTGTAGACAATCATTTTTTAACCCTGCAATAGTTGTCCAAGGACTCAGTCAGCACAATTTATTTATTTATTTATATATTTATTTATTTAATTTTTTTCATATCTTTGATATTAAGAATCATTTAATTTCAGTATCTTCCTACATACATTAGTTTAAATGATTCTTTCATTTCTGTTTTATCAGTGCAATGATCTCGGAGTTATCAGTGATTGTGAACTTCCAGACCAGTGTAACTGGTGTTGCATCTTTTGCTCAGAATGTTTATATAAGGAAAGGAAGAGATATGTGTGTAAAGTGAATGGAATGTGTGAATTGAAATGTTAAGAAACTTTGAAACACTTCTACGGATATATAAGTGACAAAATTGGTCTTCCATTAATTTTTCATTAAAATATATTAAACTCTCCAGAGCCTTTTCTAAGTACTTCCTTTTCATACCGAGGCTAATTTGGCTTATGTACGTTGCCTTTAAATACTTTTGGCCACACACAGACTTGCAGTGACCACTAACATTTCAAAATAATGCACAATTACTGTTGGGTCACAACAACAAAAAGTCTTTTCAAGGGTTTAAAATTTCTGGGAAAATTCTCAATGTTCCTATTCATTTCATGGCAATAATATGAATTATATGTTCCTATTGTGTCTTTAATTTCAGATCACAGAATACATAGAGGAAGTTTATTTACCTGATGATGCATTTCTGTTGATAAAATTGTCTCTTGAACGCATTAATCTTCTCAAGTTGGAGGTGGATGCTGAGTCCATACGCTACAGGTCTGGTCAACACACCCTATTTTGTAAATATTAAATAGTATGTTTGATAAAGAGTATGTATTATCTTCAGGGTTGATAGAATTAAAATAAGTTGTGAAATTTTCTTCAAAGTGAATTTCTTCAATTTGAAACTATGAAGTAATGATAGGTATTGATGAAAAAAATATTAACCCTTCAACATGGAATGCCATCTTCTGAGGGCATGTTTGTTCCTCATTATTCGCAAGGAACCGTCTGAGTAGATGTCTGAGACTTACAGTGGAATGTCGCTTGGAGACAGATTGTCATAATGTTGCACTAAGCTGCCTCCCTGCTACCACACTGACACCCAATTCAAATGCATTGGAATGCTACTATCCCCAATACAGGCCCTGTGTTGAAGGGTTAAACCAATGGAAAAATGTATGAAAACTTTTGATTTTGATTATTTTCAGCATTTGTACTTCACGCCTTAAGATAAAAGCAAACCTTGTATCTGTTGTATCAGATTCCATAATACTTATACGTCCAGGCAAAACAAGTCTCGCAATGAGTAATACATTAAGTGGCTTCAAAGAAACTGTTCCGAAAGTTATTATCAAGGTAAACAAAAATTCACATTTTTCATTTTGTTGAAAGTGTACATGCTTGTGTGTCATTAGCAAATTTTTATCTATCTTTTTTTGGGGGGGGAGTAATAACTGAAGTATTGGAACTGTGGAATAGTGTACATATTGTCACCAATTCTATTCTGACTACAAAGAAATATACTCAGATACAGGAAAATAGCAACCATTGCACCGCCCTGAAATCAGAAAATCTCCAAATAAGGATCCCTATAGGTGAATGAACCTCAAAGAATGAAATGTAACATTCCCCGTATCTACATTCTCCTGTGCTCTAGCCATTAGGGGTCCTCTAAATTACTTAAATTTTCTACGGAAAACTTATTACAGTGTCCTGGCGATGAAAAGTGGATAAATCCAGTTACTAAATTTAGAAAAAATTCTTAATTAACTCTTAAATAACTTAACTTAAAAAACTCTTAAATGTGATGTAGCCGGAATCCATGTTTTGGGGGTCCTTCATACTGAAAAATCGAATGACAGCAAAAGTCTGTCTGTGCGTCCATCTGTGAATAACACTAGCCTCTAAACCGTTCAGCAGATTTTCTTTGAAATTGATATCTGGCTAATGTTGGGGCACTTAAATTTGAAATTAATATTTTAATTTTGGGGGGTACTTTACATAAAGCCCCTAGGACATTATCCAAGTTTCCAAAAAAGTGGCTCCATCGTTTTTGATTAGTTTGTTGTTGGATAGTGTGAAGGGCGTATAATTAAATGCTGCAGGTATCATGTTCGTTGAAAGCTGATTTTTTGAAAATCGCAAAAATTCAAAATTTTTTCAGTCTTCCTACAACAAAAATATCATATTAAAGATGGAGATTATTTCCTTTAATGGAATTTGTTCCTTCAAGATAGATTTTGAAATAAGTTCACGTACAATTTGTTGAAAATTATAGTGCTTTTTGGGTAATTTTGTGTGAAAGTACTGGCGAGAAAGTACATGCTGTTTTATCATTACTAGTATAAAATTTATTATACCAAAGTACTGATACTAAAGCAGCACCAGGTCAGGGAAATGCAAGATTTCTATCGATTTTACTCAGTGGCTTATAACATGATTTTCTTATGAAGTAATTCATCAAAGCGATGGTATGCAGATTTATTCTAATAACTTAATAAAGAAATACAAATGACAAAGACAAATACATGAGATTGGATCAATTGCAGGAGTCTTATGTCTAGTGAATTTCATTTCCGGTGTATTTACCTCGACCAGTGGTTACATTGCCCCAATTACTTGCTGACAAAAGTTTGGTGTAGGCTGGCTGATAACTGGGAGCATCAAATGGTGCTCCAGTGCTGGCTATATAGGGCACAGTCCCCGTGCTGAGTAGCTTCTTCATGTTTCTCAGGGGCCATGTTAACTCATTGGCCCAGGGTCTTGATAGTTAAAATAGTAATATGAGAGTTAAAAGACAAATTTTTTTTTAAAAAAATACAAAATACATTGTGAATTAATAGGATTTTCTTTATATATCAGCATCGAAATGGGGAGTGGGGTGAAAGTATGAATAGGGGGCCCCCAAATTAACCTAGGTCCAAGGGCGTGCATAGCTGTTAAAACGGCCCTGAATTGCCAGGCTCGTGCAGATGACCGGTCTGTTGGCGAGGCCCCATTTATGCTTTGTTTTTGAAGTGAGTGTGCTTCGCATACCCAGAGAGAGACAGTCACACATAGTGTCGCATTGTTGCGACAAGTATTGCTTAATGCTGCCTTGAAGGATCGGCTGTAGCTCCGGGTGATATAATAGCCCTTATTGTTGAGACCGAAGTCTTAATTTTTTTAACTAACATGGTTGCTTTGTAGCTTGCAATAGAAGTTTTTCAAAGTTCTGCCTGAAGAAGTTAAGATCTGTGCCTGATGTGCAAACTTTGCAAATTATGATAAGAGCCTTCAAAGTTTTTGACTGAAGTAAGTGTTCATCGCTGTGCTCGAAGCACCTCCATGAACAATTTGCCCTCCTATCTTACGCACAGTCTTCTGGTCACGTGTTTGTCGGATTGCCCTGCTATTTGTTGAATCTGGATGTATGAGAAAGTTCTTAGGTTTACCGAACCGACGGAATTGGTTTGGAGGATTCTTCCCTCGGTTGACTTCTTTTAGAATTACTCTGTTGGTTAAAACAGTATTTCTTTTCAGCTGTTTGGAGGATAGTCATTGTTAGAGTACCAGGTGCACGCACTGATTTGTGTAATAATTTTTTTACGTCGTACAGGATTAGGGAAGCTCAATTCTTTGAACATGCAATAATTCATGGCTCCACGGTGATACGTTTGTGGTCACCTTGACATGGGTCAGCTACTGCAAACGTGAAGCCGTTGCTCTCACAATGCAATCTTAAGGAATCTGTGCCCTCTTTTGAGGTGCCCCAAGATAGGGGCTGTCAACATTGGGGCGTGGGCAATATTTAATTCCACACTTAATAGTCAAGACCTTCACAACGAAGTTCCCTGCTGCACATGGCTAAGCAGGGTTGCGGAGGTTTTCGCCCAAGAACATGCGTTAGCGCAACTCATTGCAACAATGGTTTTACATTTATTTGAATTTTAAACTACATCATTATTGCATCACACAAGTGATTTATTTAAATAAAGATCCAAGCCTTAGTTATAACCCACTCAAATGCAAAACCTTATGATGCGCTACGAAACAAGCAACAGTAGAAATTAATTGCCTCAATTTTTTAAATACTGTTCACATGCAATTACATTCTATTATAAGCCAATTTAAACTCATTTAATTACAGTCGACAAATGAAACGTGAAAGTGACCAACTACCTATCAGAATTAGTTGGCAATGTTGGGGCACCCAACAATAAAGATCAAAGGAAATTTTTGACGGATGGAAGGACACTTAGGGCAGACAATTTCATGGTTGAACCATGTGCGGGTTCTCCTGTACTCATTTAAAAGGATTCTAGAATGCACTTTAGGTTAGTTTTGAATATTTTCTTTGTAATCTAACAGTTTCTAAATAAAATATTTCCATTTATTCTCATTTATCTGCTACAACACGTATATGATACAGTGTTAATCTACGACGCATGTTAAGTGACTCAGGTGCACCGGCATCCACGCAGCGGACGTCATAAGCATTAGGTAATGCGCATCAATGCAACGCAATGCTGATGTGACACAGGCGTAAGAAAAGTACCTTCACACTCAATTGTTTATTTTACATCATCATCAT